GGGCGGGGTCAGCTGGATTATGGGTTTTAACCAGCAGCTTGGATGACGGCAGTGACGAAAAGAGATGTGTATGCAACACCATCATCTGAGGGGACATGGAGCTGCTGCTGCCCGTGATGAGAGTGACTCAATTATGTTCATAAATATCCTCAAAACAAGCCCCTCTGCATTCCCAGGGAGGTGGGTTATTTGCCTTCTTAACAGGAGAAAGGGTATTGATGCCACCCTGAGGACCCTGAGAGATTAATGCTGCAGCCAGCAAACACAGGTTTGCGATGGAAATGAGCTTCAAGGAGTTTTCACAAGTAAATATCAATTATTTCTTCTTGTTTTTGCATGATAAAATACATGCCACTGGCTAAATATGCAGCTGTGACAGACGTCATATTTAATTGACGTCGCTTTGAAATGACGGCTCCCAGGCAAGATGTGCTAAAATTGGCTGTTGACTCGACTCCTTCGCTTCGCATGGGGGCGTGACCAAGACGCCAGAGGAGGCGAGGCAAAGGAATCGAGCATATGCAAAATAAGAAAGGCCGTTTAAGATTGCTAAAATAACATACGTTATTATTATATGCTGCATCACAATCCACATGCAGGCGTAGCAACATAGGTCACGTGTTGTGTGTGTTTTTAAACGTGGCTCAAAGCTCCTCTTGTATCAACCATATCCAGTTCATAGTTCGCATTCATTGAGGGTATTGTGAGGATTTCCTTGGGAAGCTTCTTTCCCCCCTACGTGGCCCCAGATTACATTTAGAGTTGCTGAAGCGCTTCCCTCCCTCACATGCAGGAAAACACCGGAAGCAAGAGAAACGCGTTGAAGTTTAGTTTATTCTTTTTTTTAAATAACTAGCCTACAGCAGCTTTATAGCAATGCCCTTTCAAATAAAACACTTACTGCGCCCGAATCTCTGCGTTTCTATCCCGCGCAAGAGGACACTCTGGAGGACTGTTTACGCAGCACAACAACGTGGCGTGGGACCAGCAGGATCGCGTGCGTCTGCAGATATCAAGAAGTATTTCGCCCGGCATTGGTGCAGAAACTATGCATCCGACACCGCGTACAGCCGAGCCTTCGCCCAAGCGAGGGACAACCCCGAGACATTCTGGGGTGAGGCGGGACAGGACGTAAACTGGTTTGAGCCGTGGAGTAAAACGTTGCACGTTGAGGATCCAGTGTTTCCAAACTGGTAGGTTTGGTGCAACACTTTCACTTAAGTTTAGGATTTTTGCTTTAAAAAAAGGAAACACTGTATGGTCACTTTACAGCATGTCTCTTTAATAACTCAAAGCATCTGGTTCCCCAATTTCACAAAGATCTTGAAATACTTGGAAGCTTGTGAGTTTGAGAAAAATAAAATAAGACATTTTTAAGATTAATTTATGACTCTGAGCTACTAACATTTTAATAATAACATCCAAATTTACCTATAGTCAGTTTGGACACCCCAAATACTTAATTAATAATCTCTAGACTTTCTTATGACAACATGGTTTGAGTAGAGGTGGTGTGCGTAAAGTAGGGTCTAGTTTTGTTGAATCATTTAATTTAAATAGTAGATAATGTGATTCAGCAAAAATACACATGGGAGAAAAGGGCCGTGCATGAAGTATAATTCATGACGTCGTGAAATGAGTAAAGTGTGTTTAGGGGTATTGTCTAATGTCATTGGCCTACTTGTGTTCATGCAACTGCACATCAAGTTGTGTTCCATTTTTCAGTAAAATGAAAGTACACTGCCATCCAAAAATACAGTCTTCAACAGTATAGAGATATGCAGATGGAGGCGGTGGCATATGATATGTATTGTTCACTTAAAATGGTCTCTTTCAGGTTTGTTGGAGGGAAGTTGAACATGTGCTACAACGCTGTGGATCGTCACGTTGAAAGCGGCCGTGGAGAGCAGCCTGCCATCATTTATGACAGCCCAGTGACTGGAAGCAAACAGATCATCACTTTCAGGGAACTTCAGGACCAGGTACATATAGTATTATTAGAGGCAGAAGTCCCAGAAGTGAACAGCATTAAGAGCTGAAGTAGTCACTTTGTTAAAATCTGCCATGGAGGACAGCAAAACACAATAAGAAAAATAAAGGGAAGTTATTAACTTGATTGACATTTGGGAAGACTCTTCAGTTCAGTTTAGTCTCAATTGCATGCATATTAATCAAAATGTGCTTGCCCCCAGAGGAAAAAATACACTTACAGTCTTTCATTTGTCAGATTTAGGTCCAGTTCAAGGCAATCTGTAATGCACTTAAATTCACAAATGTATTCACATTAATAACCCCATAATAGAAACCCAAATGCACAGTGTGTCTGTTTTTACCATCAATTGTTTATGTTTGTATGTTGGTTATAGAAGATATGCAGATATTTGAACGAGTGCGGTGTGAGCACAGTTCTCCGTCTGTGTCTTGATCCAGGTGTCCAGGTTAGCAGGTGTCTTGGTGAAGAATGGGGTCCAGAAGGGGGACCTGGTGGTCATCTACATGCCCATGGTGCCACAGGCCATGTTCACCATGTTGGCCTGTGCGCGGATCGGTGCCCCTCACAGCCTCATCTTTGGCGGCTTCGCTTCCAAAGAGCTTTCTGTCCGCATCGATCACGCCAAGGTTAGAAAATCTTGTCATACACCTCTTGGTGGAGATATATCTTTTCTAAAGCCAATGGCAACAGGACAACATGACCTTTTTATTAATTCACTCCTCAGTACCTTGGCAAACATGTATGTGCATGAAATTATAATGCAATCAAGTTCTCCAAAAAAAAAAAAATGTAAAATGTATCAAAACTGACTCTCTGAAACTGGTTCATGCATTCATCTCGGGCAGGTTAGACTACTCAGATGCTCTATTTCCAGCTGATTCAAAGTAAGGTCAGCTGTGGCTCAGTGGGTAGAGCGGGTCGTCCTTTGGTTGGCGGTTTGACCCCCGTCCCCTACTGTCCACATGTTGAAGTGTCCTTGAGCGAGACACTGAACCCCTAGTTGGTCCTCCGGTGCTTCATGGCGGCAGGCCACTGCTCCTAAAAATGCTAAGAATGGATTAAATGCAGAGGTCAGATTTGACGTGCGTTCCTGTGAGTATATATATGACGATTGTAATAAAAGGTTTTAGGTTTGAAATGCAGCAGCCAGAGTCCAAACATGTTCACGAAAATGTGCAATAATGCAATCACTTCATTGGCTCCTGCTAAAGGGCTATAAAACACTTCATTACGTTTCTGACTTGCTCACTGGTCATAACCTGATCCGGCCTCTCAGGTCGTCAGACAGAGGTCTTCTAGCTGTACACAGAGGGCGCCTTCAGTTACTGTGGTCCTGCTCTCTGGACTAAGCTGCCTGATGACTTGAGGTCCACATTCAAAAGCAAACTCAAAACCTTCCTTTTCTCCCTTGTTTTGTGCTTTTAAATGCTCTGTGGTTGGGTGTATAAGTAAGTATATTACTGTATTCTTATATTGATGTTGTTTATGCTAAGTTCTTATGTTTATTCATATATTTCTATATATTTTGTCTTTAAATGTAAAGCAGTTTGAGTTTATGTGTAAGGAAATCCTATTACCCAATCCTTGTGTTTCTCAGCCCAAGCTGATGGTTACAGCCTCCTTTGGCATCGAGCCAGGCAGAAAAGTGGAGTACATCCCTCTGGTGGAGAAAGCCTTGGAGCTGAGCTCTCACAGACCCTCTAAAGTCCTCGTCTACAACAGGCCTAACATGGTAAGAGGCACAAAGCATCATAAAGCTTAATTCGTCAGCGCGGTGTCGTTTCTTAACCGGCTGGCTGTGTGACAGAATTTAAATGCATATCTGAAATATTGCAGCCGTATGTTATCTTGATTACTTTAGTCACCGTATAGCTGCAGAGAAAAGGTTTCCCCAAGGCATATGGTTGCCATTTTTAACCTTTATAAAAGGATTTAAACATTTAACTGAATTTCAAGCTTTATATTTCAAAGGTTTATTGCCTTAAATTGGCCAAATGTGCACGAATAGTAAGAATATCAAATCCCGCCGCCGTATCAAAAGAGGATGTATGGCAGGTTCAAACAGATGAGATGTGTGTTTGCAGCAGAGGGATCATGGAGGTTGTCATAAACAGCCCACGCATCCGGTTTTGTAGCATCCTGAGCTGCACAGAAAGATGATACAGCTCACAATTATGCATTAGTATGGTGACAGCAAGCTCACATTTGCTTCACCTTCACACAATAAAAGAAGAAGAGAAATCATTGAATTTTAGCTCTAGAAAATAGAAATTATTCTTCAAATTGATTGCACAGTATTGCAATCATTCTTCTTAAAATGTTTTTTTCTGGGCTGCACGTCTCAGTTCAAATTTGCCATCAGTTGCGCCATGTACCTCTGTTTGACTCAGTCGTTGTGTTAAATGAACACAATGTATTCGACCCAGTTGGTATACTCCGGGGTTATCTATCGGGGAATGTTCTGCTGAATTATTAAGAGATCACGGTTGCATCTTTTTTTTTTTTTTTTTTGTTTTTGGGAAGAAAAACACGGTTGACATAAGTGAACTCACAGAAATGGTTTTGACAGGAAATTCACCGTGAACTCATCCCCTTAAAATCATGTGAAGCACCACTTTGAAGGCGGTTGATGCTGTTTATCAATTACTGCATTCAGTGAGCAAGAGCCTGTGGTTCTGTGAACGCCGCCTCCGACTTGAAAGCCCTGTTAAATCAGCCCAGTTTTACTCCGGCTCGACTCTGAGTAAAGGGATGCATTTCAGACTGCTGGAGGTTATATGTCTGTGTGATATTGAATGATGTCTTAGTCTTGAACTCTTTCTCCGAGAACCACAGAAAGGGACTTTTCTTCAGCCTCCCGGGATGATTTAAATATTAATGAAATCAAAGAATTTTGAAATGAGACGGATGTCAGCAACTGCAGCTGTAAGTGGCATTAATCCATGACCTGAAATGACCTCTGTTGCTGACTTCGAGAGATTATAATGACTACTGGGAGTTAAAACAGAGTGTAAACATCTATATAAAATATATAATGCAACTTGAAGTGAGAATTTATATCCCGCAGTCACTTGTTTGTGTGTCTTTGCTTTTTTTAGGAAAAAGTATCAATGAGTCTGGATTTGAGTCTGGACTGGGATGAAGAGATGGCCACAGCTCGTCCTCATGACTGTGTTTCTGTTCCCTCCAACCACCCTCTCTACGTCCTCTATACATCCGGGACTACTGGAACACCAAAGGTACTGACATTTCATGGTATCGGTCAGCAGGAGGAAATCAATACCTGGTTCATATCTATAGATCATCTACACATACATTCTCAGTTAGACGAGTTGGGGATTTACCGTTGACTCCGTTTGTTTAAATGCTGTCAGTTCTGCGTAGCGCTTCTGTGTGACTCATCTGCTCTTTGACAATCCAGGCCCAATCTAGACTCCATCACTGTGACATAAATAAGACGGAGCATCTCCACAGCAGGAGCTGGAGCTCATGCAGGAGGAATTGCCTACAGGCACTTTCAAATGGGAAAAACTCCAGCTCCTTTCAAATAGCATCGTTTTGTCTTTGACCAAACGGATGATATAAAATATCCACCTGCTGGCGAGTTCCTGAGCTTAATAGAGCTGTTATTGCCAGCTTTTTTCTCTGTGAGTTACTGTGACTTCCTCACTTAGTGCTGTAGGGGGATCATACGTTTGAGACAATCTCTATAATTGGAGACGTGAGGACTTAAGGACACACTATTTTTGCTCGAAAATATCTATAGAGCACCATTAACTAATAAAAGCAGTTCTTTGGAGTCTGTTTGAGAAGCAGTCATTCGAAAACAAAATTCCATCACCTTCTCCACAGCAAGGCTGAGCGTCTGTGTGCAGATTGATATTAAACGCCTGCCTCTTTGCCCAGCACAATACCCGTCACCAGTCTGATGTTTTTCTTATCTCGTCCCCCAGGGTGTCGTGCGAGACACTGCCGGCTACGCTGTGATGCTGAAATGGACCATGTCAAATATTTATGGACTCAGTCCTGGAGATGTAAGGCAATAACGCGTCCTCTTCTGAGTTAGAGCCTTGTTTGAGAACAAAGAGCAGGCAGTCAGCAAAGAGATAGATTGCTCTGTGCTACTGAAGATTTGATCACATGGTAACTGACCAGTCATACGTTTCGGAAGTAGTGTTCATTTTACTTGTGTTTTTCCAATTTTCCTTTACATTCATCATTTACATTAGCTGTTTGATTTACATTATAGGTGCTTTCAAGTACAGCAAGTGTTATATTTTTAGCATTCAGAGGTGCAAAGGGAGTTGAAAACGTGTTATTAGAATTCTCTCCGCTTGTTAAGCGACACTGAATGCACCATGTTGATAAATCCACAGCAGAGTATCTCTACATACCTCACCTTTTTTGTTAACCTGTTGCAGGTTTGGTGGGCAGCGTCAGACCTGGGCTGGGTGGTCGGCCATTCATACATCTGCTATGGTCCTCTGCTCCATGGTAACAGCACAATTCTCTACGAGGTATGTTCCCATAAACAAGGTTAAGTATCTTAAACTGACAACAGCAGGATTGCAGAACAAGAAAGGTGTACAAGTTGAGTTTTAAGGTCCGCTTGGCATCTGCCTTGGTCTGCTCTGCAGGCTGAATACATCCGTATTTGGTTCACTGCTCCAGTTTATGTGAACTTTTACCCTGTTGCCATGTTTGACTCCGGCTGCTACAGTTCACTGTCAAGAGACGGAGTCTATTTTTGTCTTTTATTTTTTCTGTACTAATGCCAGTCAATGTGTAACCTGCATGTGCAGTTTCTGCCCTCACACACTGGCTTTGTTTGTTGAAAGAATATGCTGTGGTGCAGAAGCAGTATTTCCATATTGGCGATCCTAATGACATTCATTCAAGCACCCGACAATATCTCAATTGATAGAAATAGAAATTGGTAAAAACTGCCTCATCATATGGCAAAAAAAATGACGTGTGAGGTCACGATGGAATGGACTGGGACAAATACACACGCTAAATTATAAATAATATCGGTTCGAGCCTTCAGGACACAGCCCCTCCCCTGAGCACGACATTGACATGCAGCACACACCGCTTCTCATAAAACCAACGGTAAAGGAATAAACAAGCTTTAATGACATATTTTCTGCTTGAATGTGTCTTTTGAACAGCCATTTGCTGTTGATGGATCCGATTATTACAGGTAATTTGGCTTTTGCATTGTGAGTCCACCACCGGCTTGATTTTCTATGCAGGCTTCTTCTTATGTGGACGGTTATTAGCCTGCAACAGCTAAGAGGGATGTGTGTGTGTCTGTTGATCTGTGTGTTTCCTCATTACTTTAGCACCGTGACTTTCTCTCACCTGTAGGAAGCAGAACTGCTCGGCAATGAATTGCTCTGCCTTCCTTAAATCAATGTTTGACTACAGCCACGCTGGTTCTCGTGCTAACGGCCCGTCTCTCTTCAGGCATGATGCTGCCAAACTGTTGTCTTCCCTCTGATCAACACACAGGCACAAATATTTATTCAGAGCATAAACGACATCCAGAACTACCTGCTGCTGTTTACCATTCTCAGTCATTCTCAGTTGTCCCCTCGCAGGCTACTTGAATACCAGAAACGCATATGAAATTGCTGCAGGAGGCGTTTGCCTGCAGGCTTCTTTTGTCTATGTCTTTACTCCTATAGTGCAACTGTGTTTTCTAATCCATGGATTTCTGGGCCTCCAGTTTAAACAGCTGCTCTATGAATATTCATGTTTTGTAGTTGAAGTGAATTTGCACTGTAGATTGTTGAAATATTGCGGTGACGTTTTTTTTTGAGCTTCCACAATAAGCTGTGCGTCTGCTATGCGCCCTGTAGGCAGTCCGCCATATGATTTTATATGCCTGCATCCGTGTCACCGTTTGTGAACTAACCAGCTGTTGCTAAACTGGCTGTGTTGCAGGGTAAGCCTGTGGGGACTCCAGACCCCGGGGCGTTCTTCCGCGTCCTATCCGAACACGGAGCCTCCGCCATGTTCACGGCACCCACCGCCATCCGAGCCATTCGCCAGCAGGACCCCCATGCAGCAGTTGGGAAGAAACACCCCCTCTCCAGGTAGACGGCAACACCTCACACAACAGGAAATTCCCCTGAACCAAGCCCAAACAAACTGTTTTATAGTGCAGTATTTGTAACAAATTAAGCACTAGCGTACAGGCTATTCAAAAACTAAGACGGGTAACAAGTATGTTTTTATCCACTGAACATGTCAATAATCTATCGTTATCTGGTGCTTCTAAGTAACGTAATGTGAGAACTGTGAAGACAGTCGGCATTGGCCTTAACCCTCAAATGCATGTTGTTGGTTGAGCTTTCAAATAGCCAGGAGTGATGTGTTTCAGTATATCGTGGCTGACGGTGTTCTGTGCAGTCTGTCCGGCCTCTCGTTAGTCGCCGGCCCATCTGTTGATGCACAGCCCTCTCCCACCTCCATATCTAGCTGACAGGCTGTACCCTCAGTTTGACTCGGGTGTTAATCAGGCTGAATGACAAACGATGGCAAGTCACTGCAGCTCACCTGTATTAAATATTACTGCGTCAACTTGTTTCCCCCGGCTGCTGTCTCACTGTTCAGGTAAAGGTCTTCTGTAGCTCAGAGTTAAAAAACAAAACATTTTTCCACAGTATTAGTTTGTCCCAGAGAGTGAAATACTTGCTGAGTTTATTAGAATTATTAAATGTTTGGTGCGGTGCAATCTAAATTGGACCTAAGGGTGTCAATCCTCCCGCTTTCATTCTGGTCAGCGGTCTGAAAGAGCCTCTAAGCACACAATCATAAAGCAATTCTGAGTGCGGATGACCTCTGGCCACAGTGAATCATTCAGTAACTCTGGCGTTGTGTGCAGAATTTTACGATGCTCGGTTGTTCAGTGTGCTGAATGCATCCTCCTTTTAAAGGCTGCACTTGCAGACAGAGAATATTTCCTACAATATTTTTGCCTCAAATATTGGCGGCATTCATCCTTCTCAGTGTCGGCCACAATCAGTCATTTAAGCGACGGGCTGTTTTTGTGTACACGTTCTTATTCTTAATGTGTCTTTTCCCCTTGGTTGTGGCAGGCTGGTGAAAGATTACTGTATTTCCCTTTGGTGCTGAACAAAACATGCCACTGTGACGTGACACAGAGGCAGCAATACAAAGAAAGCAATAAAACAGGATTCGATTTTAGCGCCGGCCGGCTCAATGTCTGAGCCTTTTTACTCGTTATCTTATGATGTGTACTTTCAATTTTAAAGTTAACTAAATAGAGGTTTTCTGCCGATAAAATGTGGTATTTGGAATGTCAGAAGAGTGTTAGTTTAGTGGAGGAGTTACTGACAATTTGTGTGTCAGTTCTTGTCTCTGTCTTGATAGTTTTATGTGCTATATCAATGAGATATTGTGTTTGACAATATTGCCAAATGGATCCAGATCCAGTCTATGCATTTTGCCACCTCATGTAACACACGGAAGGATATGTCAATACTAATAATGCTGGTTTTAATTAAAAGTGTGTTGATGGACGTAGCAAAACCTTCCAGAAAACTCCTTTTAGCTTTATTATCAAACACATCATTTCATGCTAGAGAGGACTTAAACAATAATTTTGTACGGTTCAAATAACCTGTCAGCAGTTTATTGACACTGTGAGACATTTGCTCCCTCCGGAGCCAGCTCAACTGTAATAACCCTGGACCCATATCAATGGGCTGGAGCCATATTACTTGTCAAATTGAGAGTTTGGCTGCAGGGCTGTCCAAAGTTATGAAGGCTGCAGCAGCGCTCTCCCCATTTTTGCCATGCTACATTTATGCTGACGCGTGTTTATGACTGAGCATTGATTTAGTTCTCCTGTCTTTAAAGCGCCACTGACAGAGTGCATGACTCCACTTAATAGTACTTTCTGGTGCAAAGTAGGGGTGGGCGATGTGGCCAAAATCTTCTGTTACAGTGTGTGTAATTTCATATCACGGTAACAGTGTCACAATACACTAATTGTGTTATAAATTCAATTAACAAATGGTTTAAATCAACCATACCGTACTTCATCACATATGATTGTTTTCTTCTTTTGTATCACTCAGCTGCTTACATATCGGGTCAGATAAATATGATCAGTACTGTAAGCAGTTTTGTTGATTTGTGTTAGAAATGCTCTGAGTTAATTTAAGTCCCCTCTCATAAGCAGCTATGCAGTGTATATCTCTAGGGCTCTTATTGTGAAAACAGTGAATTTACAACTTCACCCCCCTCCTCCAAGTCTGACCAAATCCTGTTACCTTGCAATGCAGCTGGATTCTTAAGATTACAAGAGTTTCACTCCCACGGTTCAAACGGTAAACAAAAGTCTTTACTGGTTTCACATTTGTCCCGATAGCGCAGTATGTACCCTTCATATCAGCCGACCTAGCACAGTAAAAACTAAGGCTGTTAATGTTGGTGATGTTTGCACCTTGTGTGTCTTTAACTACAATAAACTCCTGAGAATATACCAAGGTATTCTCTAATCTGCTTATCCCATGTAGCAGATGCATTTCCATATCACACATTGTAGCCCTAAACACACACACACACACACACACACACACACAACTCCTGCACACAGACGTTCCGTGTTCAAGCACAAGTTTTGGAGATTAAATGTCAGTCTGTATGGAAAACCTCACTGCAGCTATATTCTCCTTTGCTTAAATTATTCTCGCTTCAACTTTGTTCGCACTGACCTCACAGAATCCGCTTTAAGCATAACTTGAAACATGTGACAAAGGACCATCATGTGGATAACCTTAACCATTAACAGTATGTTGTATTCTGCTTCAATGGCTTGCTCCATGGTCATGCTGTAGAGATTAGTGTGGCCTTATCTTTACAAACTAGCATAGCTTTTATTGGTTAACATATTGTGGCCAGTGTTACCGTTGAGATGTGCTCTGACCATTAACAACCTTTGGTAGTTCTTTTTATGGCACTGGGGGTTAGGCTACGTTTGCTATCATTGTAATTTTACCTTCACCGGTATCCGAGAGTGGCTGCCAGTGTGTTTGTCCTCATACTGTATGCAATGGGAAGACGTTTGTTTTGAAACAGATGATGCTTAACTTGTAGATAATTATTGTCCTCCGTTTAATTAGTCCACACACACCAGTTCTGAGGACACAGTGGCTGAGTGAATTCTCCCAACTTGTACTTGTACTACCATTAAACTCCTCAGAGAACATTAAAACACACAGAGTCTGAGTTGTCCTTCGATAACTAGAAGCTTAGTGAGAACACAAGGTCACTGCCAGGGCAGGAGAGTCAATCATCCATTTATTCCACATGTTATGTAGCTCAGCTCCTGCAGGGCAGGATCTATCTGAGAGCTGAAACGTGGCACTTTGATAATTTCATTATGGGTTTTTTTTTTATGTACTTCCTTCATATTTTATACAGTCTCTGCATTAGACTGGGTGATATTGAATTATCACCCAGTGTCGCTGGGTGATAATTCAATATCATAATTTATCGTCTTTCATTGAAATGTTATCGTGATGAAATCATATCAAAATATCACGAAAGAAAATCTGATGTGAAATGATGTTTGAAGCCAGCGGTTTTGTGTTGACATCACATTGGACATTTAAACTCTTTTAAAGTTGTATAAACTGTTATAAAATGTTATTAATGCTAAATAAAACAAAGTACATTAAAAGCCCATAATTACTTGCCATGTCCTCTTTAATCTTTATGAAATGGCAAGATCTTTAAACAATCAGAACTTATCAAACAAAGAGGAAAACTGGACAGGAAACCTCAGAAGAAGAATCATAATTAGATTTTAAACTCAACAAGAGGTAATTCCCCCCCATTAGTGGATAGGAATAGTGTTATTCCAAATTGAACTGACTGAAGGCCCCCAGGAATTCATCAACATCTGGGTGGTGATAAACAAAGGCAGAATATTTATGATGTTTTTCTGCTTACTGACATGAATTCACAACTCCTCGTTGGGTGTATCGCCTGTTCCGCCATCACAGTGTTACTGAAAACCATAAAAAAAACAGACTACATAATATTCTAGAGACCAAAGAACAGTCAAGTTGGAGAATAGTGCGTGAAAAAGATAATAAAATATAATTCAGGGAGAGAGGAGGAGGAGAAAAGATACGATTCAGTGGGGAGAGAGCGACGCGATGAAAATCTTTTTGCCCGTTACCGAAGATAGAATGTGACTTTAAGCCTGATTGGAGTTGGAAAGGCATTTCGCCACTTCGCCGTTTCGGAGGGTTGAGAGCGATGAGTGATGCCCAGCAGTCATTTGTGGGAAAATGTAGCAATCAGTCTAGCATCTATGGCTCCACTCTGACCTGGAATCGTAGAGGGTTACAGATCTCTTCACCGCTTTGAAGCGAGCAGCCGGCAGTGTTGTTGTGCATTAGATATGCGCAGCCATGGGCAGCCATCAGAGGGAGTTTTGTAGAGAAATAATGTGTGCGAAATCAGGGGAGGCTGAAGATAGAAACTGCTGTGAGGGAGGGTTTCATGAAGCCAGGGAGTAACAGTTCCCAACCGATGAGGATTCAGATGTCCTCGCAAGAGTTTGTGGTCTCCGGGTGCACCATGACTCAGGGTCACAGCTTACTGACTGAGGGCAGAATGTTCCTAAGGGGAGAAAGAGCAGCTAAGTCCCACCGAGACTGTTTCCTGGAAGACGAACGTCCAACTTGAATTGCCTCTAAGTTAAGTTTTTCTGCAATGGCATTTAAAACGAGAGGCCAAAGCATTGATCTGTTGGAGACTCCAGTACAGATGATGCTCAACACAAAGAAGGACTCACCTCTACTGTCCTCATAAAGCCGAGGTTCGTTGTGCGTTAGCGAGAATGCATGGGTCCGCGGGACGTCATTAAAGGGCATTTACGTAAGCTCTGTGCGGATGTTGACGTACTGGCAATTTGTTGTCACCGTACTACCTTGTGCGAATTTATCTGTGCAAGTGTGGAATGCCTCTAAGATAACAATACATGCCTCCGCGATGTCCGCAGCAGTCCGTGTACGCGTCCGTTTGGAGTATGACCGAGGCTTAAGTGTGACAAACCATCATAGCGAGAACAAAAAGCATCCTTTAGTCAGCAATCGTGGTGAGAACTGTCTGCTTGGCATTGTCTGAGGCAGGTGAAAGGATGTCTCAGTCACATGTGAGATCACAGGGAAAGTGAAATGGAGGATGCTGCCCTGATGGCAAACTTGATCGTGGTCCAAAAACAATTACTTGGAAGAGGTATTGCATGAGGTTCAAAGGCACATTCAAGAGACGTTTCCAGCCATAGTTTATATTAAGTCTTACAGGGTTTTTTTTTACAATTGACATGACCCAGTTTTCATTACTGATCTCGTACACTTAAAACAATAAATCAGAAGCTCATAAGCTGCACAGCTTCACAGAGGACAGAGGATCAAGTTTATGAAATAGAATCAGTATACTTAAAGACACAGAGAATCCATGAAGCAGATACTCTGAACTAAATTGCCAAGATTGCCAAGAGTCTGAGTCTTTGCATCCCATTTTTTTCAGTTATACATATTTATATTAAATTCTTTAGAAATATGCAGCTATGGCTTTTAAATACGGCTGTCCTTGACTAAAGAAATCCCAAGTCTACTATTTGATTAGTGTATTTAATCAATAGATCTGTAAAAGAAAGGAATCGCACAAAAGCACCACTTTAAATCTTATGTTTACCAGAGATGTGCTTTAGTTTCTTGGAAATAAGCATAAAAAAACACTAATTAACTAAAGAAATCTAAGTCAACTGAGACCAAAATAACAGATTATTCGACCAAGAGGGGCCAGCCCTGGGTTTAAACAGGTTTGAGCATGTGAATAAACTTGGTTCAAACTTTTTTCCCCCATGGCAAATATGTTGTGTTGTCTTCAGAGCGAGGGTAGATATGTCATGTTTCTTTAAGGTGATTGACAGATGTACTCTTTGTCCTTGCAGGTTGCGGTCGTTATTTCTGGCAGGCGAGCGCTGTGATGTGGAGACGCTGGAATGGGCAAAAAGGAGCTTCGGGGTTCCTGTCCTGGATCACTGGTGGCAGACTGGTAGGAAGCTTTCTACTTTCTAAACACAGTAATCAGAGCTTTACCTTGTTGATGGCCGGTATTCAAAGCATCACTGGGAAATGTTCACCTGTCTTATCTGATTCCATACATTTTCCCTTTTTTGCCCAAACTGCATATTTGACAGGAAGCAGTAAATTGAAACGTAAAAACTAAAATGCAACCTGACTCCAAGAGGTCAGTGACTGAAGTGTGCAGTGAAAGCTGGACTCAGCGACATAACGTTCTGCTCTCCTGCCTCTTTCGTCTCTTTAGTATGAAGCATCACATAGCAGCCAGGCCGTCGTACAGAACGTGCAGTTCACAGACTTAATGTCACAGGGTTTCTGCTGGTTGAAGTTCAAATTGTTTAAAACATTAATCCTGTGTAATATGCCTTTTGTGCGAAGCTGCCACGTGCAATTAATCATGTCGGTCTAGTAGAAGCAACTTTACCCTCCAAACTTTAGAGATTAAGTTCTTATGATACAGAGAAAGCATTTCAAGGAGCACTTGTATTAACATGAACTGTATGTGATGTTTCAATTTAACTTGATCTTTAAGACTCGGCCTCGTCTTAAGCTTGACAGCGTGAGAAGACTATGAATCTGGTCTTTGCTGTATTTTATTAGTCCACTGACATCAACTTGGCCTCGAGAAGAGATATAACTGCAGGAAATCACTATTCCCTTGAAAGAACGGAGTCATTATGAAGATCGTTTTATCACACTGCCCTCTCTGATTAATCCCATCTGATGTTCTGTATTGTAGACCGGGGGATTGGACCCCTTCTACCGGAGTAATTATGATGTCAAAGAAGCCATTGTTTGATCTAATAAGCTTCTCCGAGAACTGATCATCGCACAAAATGACGTCATTTGGACGAGTTATTTGAATGGCAATCAAAACTAGATGGGGATGTGCAGGAGGGCAGATGAACAATGGCTGAAATCACCATTTTAATGAAGTCAAAATGAGAATCATGACTGGAAGTGATGGTGCAAATTAAATTAATAGAACAGCTCCATTACAACTGAACAATAATCTCATTTTTTTTTTTAATCTACACATGCAATAGCCCCAAGTCAATCATTGTCAGGTGGGAAAACTCCCAGAGAGCATTACTTCCAAGCGGTCACATTTCACAGCAGCAATTAAATAAAGGGTTTGATTGGCAGTGCCATTCATTGAGTTCGCTAATGTTTAATTGACTTTGCGCCCATAAGAGACGGTGAGTGACTGGCTGAGGTGTGAGCACTAAGTTATGTGCTTAGAAAAGAGATAAAGGAAAGGAAGCAATCAGAGGTACCTTGTGAGTTCAGGAGTTATAATTGAAATGGCTTCCCCACTGAAACATGCTTTGAGTCAGACAAAAATCTTTTAATGTGTTTTTATTACTTATAACTGCTTAAATAATGGAAATATTTGATTTTTTTTTTCTCCAAAAAAGGGGGGTAGTTGGTGACATTGACAGGCGTGGAAATCGTATTTTATGTATTACATTTATTTTAACAATTTCTGTTAAAAATCATTAAAAACCATCAGCATAATCTTACCATATTAAAAAAACAACATATTACATCTATACTGGTTTTAATGACGAGGTTAAAGTTAACTCACTTTGGGTAGTATAGGGGTTTTTTTCTTGAAGGAATTTTGCTTAAATATTAAACAATTAGTCAACTTTGGAAGCTCTCAAACATGACTTCCTCAGTCTCACTTGTTCTTGGAAAAATGGATTACAAACATGATTTCCTGCTCGTGTGATGCGATCAATTATTTTCATGTCATAGTAGAAGACCCTCATTTCACAGCAAAACTGTAAAACATGGGGTTTTATATTACTGCCTTTTCGTAAAATTGCGATAGAGTAATTGTTGTCATATGGCAAAAAGGTTACAGTCATTTATGGCTAATCATACTTGGCAAAGAAGGGCTTCCATTCTGATCTGTCTTCTCTTTAAAAAGTCCATTAGCAGACTCAATATTTCAGTGGCACATTGCACCGATGCACTTGAGATTAATGTAAGGTTCACAGGGGCTGAGTCACGCTCATCATTTTATAGACTTGCTAGGTCACGCCCCTTAAATCACCGTCCAGTGGTCGTACATTAGACAAGGAAAGGAGAGTTTGTAATCTCCCTTTTCTTCACCTCGCAGTCAACCTATTGTTTAGCATGGCTGTTGTGGGTCTGGATGAGAAGATATGTAATTAGAATCCCGGGTTCCCAGCTTCCCCTGCATTGTACTTGGGCCTCGGTTTCTAATGATTCTTGAATGTGTAAGACCCTGTTAGTTTTTTGGATGGGAGGCTTGCATCCAGGCAGCATGCCATCATGCTAATGTCAAACCCCCCCCCCTCCCCCCTCACTTGGTTGTTGATTGCCGTCCTCCTCACGTACTAGTGAACTATGATAAATGCTCCAGCGACGGCGAAAGAGCACAATTAGATGTCTCTTTGTTTTGTAATGTTCTCCTGCCTGCGAGAATGTAGAATCGATGGCGGACAAGACGACATCTCTGTGTTAAATATGGGATCAATACTGTTGTTGGACCGTTGGAAAGCCATCGACCTTGAAGTTGGTACAGGCAACACACACTGATCTGAGCGCAGATTAGCCCACTTGACTGATTGGTCTGTCCGGGGCGCGACGGGAGTGTGAAAAGCTCAATACTGTAATATCGCAGAAATGTAGTTTATGAATTTAGGCTCTTGGGTTTGAATTGCTGACCCTGTAGGCTTATCACATACATGCTGCATTCCAGTTCAGAGCAGCATCCTCTGGAGGCTGTCCCATTTCAGCTAAGCTTGTTCAATTTTATCTCCAAAAAAATAAAGGTAGCAGCCTTCTTTTGCCCAATTTCAGGCCATTTTACTCACATACACACAACATAGCTACCAGTTATTTCCCCTCAAATAGACATTCATAACTGATGCATACAATCCATATGACCAGGTACGAAGAAAAAACACACATTTTTGTTTTTTTAATAGTTTGTAAGTTTAAAATCACAATCGACAAACCACAGTGATATCTAACTTTCTGGTGGTTAACTTGCTTTTTTTTGTTTTGTTTTTTAAATGGAGGACAATCCAAATGCACCAATAGTTTCTGTCTTTGTGAGGCCAGACTCTTTGGGTTCAGTCTGGTGCACTGATGGACACGCACTCCTGAGTGGTTGACCATCCAGACCCCGCTTTGTAAACTTTGTGCTTAGTAATGGCGTCATGGAAAGTGAAAATGAATTTGTCAAAGTGCAGTGAATTCCCTCTCTGGGGTGTTTTTATGCTCAGTTTAAATATCCGTGCACTGATCTTTTCTTACGGCTGTTGGATGAGCATTTACTGTTTTTATATTAGCAGTGTGGGAGTTGGAAGGATTTAGAGCGGGCTCCAATGCTCACAGGCAAACACAAGATTATGACATCTGCAAGCCTTTTGGTGCTGTGTGATTTAGTTGTTTACGTCTGTTTACTCTCTAGCTGCGCCTCCATCTCAGACTGTGTCTGACTGGCAGAGCAGATGGATGGACTTTACTAAACTTCCCCGAGCCTGGATGTGCTGAACAAAAGCTGCTGATTCCCATCTTTCTCTCTGAAGCTTCAGCGTTTGTGGGATAACATTTCATCCTACTTGAACAAAGGGATGTTTGTTTCTCAGTTTGACTCTCCCTTTCCTTTCTATCCCTCACACACACACACACACACAGGCATCCAAACAAAATCCTGCCACACTCTGAGGCGATCCTAGCCAGGTGATATATCGAGTTTGGAGACAAACCTCTGGCACCCTCTTTGATTTCTGTCTGGATGTGTAAATCCCTTTGGATTCTTCAGCCCCTGCTAAACTCAATATGTGGCAGCTGGCGGCCGGCGCAGCAATCCAAACGTGTTCTCTACTTTTTCACGGTAGAGTGGGTCACTTCTCGTCTCACTTGCTTTCTCTTTGTCTGTCCGAGGCAGTCTGTCTTCAAATGTGTGGGTGAGAGAGACTCCGGCATGTTATACATATTCATTAAATCATCGTTAGTTTTGTTATTTCTTTCTGAAGTTACAGAAAGAAAAAACTTTTCAGAGTTTGTCTTAAGCCATCTGTGTTTTCCAGCCACAGCTTTTTCATATCCACATGTTGCAAGTAGTCAGTCGGTTGGTGTTATTTGATCTTTTTAACCACAATTTCCCAGAAGAGTCTAAAAACAACAATGTATGTATTCATCATACTAATGAGTATTACTCCAGCCTGAAATAGATAACGCATGTTTACCCAGAACGTGTAACACACAAGCACGGCTGACATACTGTATTGATTCATTCTGCCTATACAGTTTCCTTCTGCCTGTACTGAGTTCTCGAGTCACGATGCTCTGTTCGACCGTCTCTCTGGAGGCGGGACATCAATCAAGCAACTTTTAACAATGTCGGTTGCTTTACACCTCTCACTTCATCTTCCCCCTCCAGAAAAAGAGACGCGGCAACTTTGTCAACGTGAATCAGTTCAATATTCAAGGCTTGTTTACTCCAAAATGGGCCTCACAGAAAGGAGAGACGGACTCCTCCTTGAGAAACTCATTATCGTCAAAACACCTGAAAGCAAAGTTTGTTTTCATCTTTTGGCTCCAACTCAGAATGATTTTTCAAACTTGGGTCTTGGGTTTCATCTATAAATATTGATATCTGCCCTTCTACTTGTAGCTCACCTGCAAAATAGATAGAAATTGAACAAAATCGATGGCTGGTGCAGTTGCTCATGAATCTTTGTAGCGGCATGCTTTTAGTCCTGGAATGTAATATTCAGCAGCCCAAAGCTGTAATCGATGGTGAGCGAACAGGCACCATGAGCGATGATGGGAAGAGCGGGTGAACAGAGCAGCATATTTTTGAAGTAGAAAAATATGAGTTCCTCTAGGGTTCAGACGCCGGGTTCACAGCATACCTGGACTGACTGACTACATAGTAAATATTCAGCTGAGTTCTGAATATAGATTTTCGTTAGGTTTTTAGTC